TCCCAGCACTCGGGTGGCAGAGGCAGGTGGATTACTGAGTTTGATAGCAGCTGGCCTTGAACTGACAAAAACCCACCTGCCGCCTCTGCTTCCTGAGTGCTGGGATTAAAGGCGTGCACCACCACCGCCCAACATGTCTTAATAAATCTTAATATCCAGCTTGATTTATTTTAGAATTATGTGGTTGTCAACTTCGTAATGCTGAGACCCTTTAATACAGTTCCTCATGTTGTGGTGACTTTCAACCATAAAATTATTTTTGTTGCTACTTCATAACTGGAATTTTGCCACTATTATGAATTGTAATAAAAATATCTGGTACACAACCCCTATGAGAGGGTTGCTCAACCTCTAAATGGGTTGTGGCCCACAGGTTGAGAACCACTGCTCTAGTGTACTATTGTGGAGACTGTTGAGGCCCCTTGTCCCATTTCCCTCTCCTTCCCCCATAAGCCATCACTACCCAGAATTTCAGTTTTACATTTCTATTTCCTAGTGGTTTTCTTCATATGTCGGTGTCAATAGAGAAATAAGGTGTTCAACCTATTTTAGGATTTTTATGAATTCCATAATACTATACATATTTGAACTTAATTTTCCCTAAATGGTGTCTTAAGCGTGGTTTTATACTGACAGACTGTGCCCTCTTATTTAAATAGGTACATAGCTTTCAACTGCAGGCATTGTATCAGCTCACCTGTCATTCCGATGAACATTCCGATTTCTCCCATCGTTTGCTTTAGTAAGCAGCTTTTGTTGGTGGCCTTTGAAAATTATTTATTTTTTGAGATTATAATTACATAATTTCCCCCTTCTCTTTCCTCCTTCCAGACCACTCCCCATATACCATTCCCTTCTCTCGTTCAAATTTATGACCTCTATTTTTCATTATTTATTGTTACATACATGTATGTATAATACACACACATATATATATTCCTAAATACATACATATAGCCAGCTTATCTGTATGATGCTACCTATATTTGTGTTTTCAGGGCTGACCATTTGGTATTGGACAAGCAATGGTGTGCTTTCCCCTGAGGGAAAGAGCTGCTTGTCTTTGTGTAGATCTGAGGCCTCCCAGCCTTTCCCATATCCACTTTGGCATGCTATGGCGGGCGTTTTTCAGCTCACGTTTGGGCAGCCATGATGGGGAGACTTTATGGGTTGCAGCTCCTGACATGACTAGAAGACACACTTTCATAGGAAACTCACTGATCCTCTGGCTCTAACAACCTTTCCACTCTGCTCTTCCACAATGACCCCTGAATCTTAGGTGTAGAAATACATCGGTTGGGACTAGACTCCACAACTCTGCATTTTCATTGGTTGTGGTTTTCAGTAGTGCCCTCTGATTGTCGCAAAGAGAAGTTTTACTGAAAAGGGGTGAGGAGTATGCTTATCTGTGGGCATAAGAACAAAGGCTGAGAATGTTGGTTGGGACTATGCCAGTTTAATAATGGTAGTTGTATGCTCTCCGCAAAGACCCACGGCTTCATTAGCCCTGGGTAGTTGCCTAGGTATCTCATACAATGCTTACTGCCCCTCCTGTTGAGCGGGTCTTAAGTCCAATTAGAGAGAAGCTGGCTGCTCTCAAGGCATGTGTGCCCCAATTGCACCTTTAGGGTTATTGTGCTTTGCCGGTCCTTTTTGTGGTCCATAGTTATTAAAGCTAAGTAGGACTGTTGGTTGTTTTTCTACATTAGAAGCTTGCATAGTACCTTTTGATACCATGAAATCTAGTCCTCAGGGAGGAGGCTGTAGTGGTTTGAAAGAAAATTACCTCCAAAGGGAGTAACACTATTTGGAGGCGTGGCCTCGTTGGAGGAAGTCTGTCACTGTGACTATTACACCTCAAAGTGTGTTGCTTTGAGGTCTCTTTTGCTCAAGTTTCCCTCAGTGTGACTGTTAGATGACTTCCTGTTGCCTGCCTATCAAGACGGAAGGACTCTCAGATCCTGCGGCACGTCTGCTTGCACGCTGCCATGATGATGGTGGACTGAACCTCTAAAACTGTGAGTGAACCACCACATTAAATGTTTCCCTTTAGAAGAGTTGCTGTGGTCATGGTGTCTCTTCACAGCAATAGAAATCCTAACTAAGACAGGGGCTTTCAGGTCAGTTACAGCTCAGGTCGTCTAGACCCTGCATCTGAAGTTTATGGTGTCTTTAAAAATAGGGACTTACCTTCCACTTCTGGGAGGCAACAGCAACAGTCTGGGTAATGTTTTGGGAGTCTCTGGGACAACTCTGGACAACAGCTTGAACAACTTGATAGAGGAGTTCAGGACTTTGCTGTATGGTCTTTGACTCTTGGAGGTGGCATTGCCAGTCCAGATGAGAAAAGTTCATTTAAGCCATATATATTTACATAGAGACTTGCAGATGTGTATTACAGGGTTTTTTGTTGTTGGTTTTTTGGTGAGAGGTTTTTTTTTGGTAGAGAGTTAATTGATTCCTTATGACCTTTCAGATAATCCTCACTGTTATTCCATTCCCCTCACCCTCTCCGTCCTCCTCCCCATTTAGAGTTCCCTATTCTTCCCCATTTCCCAGGATCAGATAAGTTGTTTCCTGCTCTTCCCCACTTCTATTGCTTGCCCTGTTGATGTCCTTTTACACACTACTTTGGTGCATGTGTGAGCATTTGTCTATATGAAGTTCTTTTGGAAACATAGTTAGATGTGAAGTTACTTCGTCTAGAATGGCATTTGGGAATCTGCGTGATAGAAAGGCTCCTCCTGGCATGATTCTATTCTGCAGCCAAGGCTCAGAAGTACTGCTCTAGACTGTATATTTCCGTACATTGAATTCTTGCCTGCCACATCACTGTCTATCTTTCTATTGTTGTGATAAAGACCATGGCCAAAAGCAACGTGGAGAAGAAAGGTTTTATTTGGCTTACAGGTTACTGTCCATTATCAGGGGAAACCAAGGCAGGAACCTGGGAGGTAAGAGGTAAAGCAGAGGCCATAGAAGGATGTTGCTTACTGGCTTGCTTCTCTCGACTTGCTCAGTTGACCACCTGACCGCAGTGGCGAGTACCTTCACATTAATCATCAGTTTAAAAAGAACAAAACAACCCTGAAAGTTCTTGCCTAGAGGCTAATCTGATAGGGAGCATTTTTTTCCATTGTTGTTCCCTCAGTCGACTCTAGCTTGTGCCAAGTTGACAGAAAATGTAAAAGTAAATGCGCACAATGCTGAAGAAGTCGCCCTTGGTGCTCTAGGGTTGACAGATGTGACAACAACTGCACAGTGGCCTCTGGGGTGAGACCCACAAGGACCAGTCACTGGGTGACACTCTCCAAAACATTCCTGTCATCTTTAGCGTTGGCCTCACCTGCGGATGGGGAGCGCGAAAGCATAAGACAAACAAGCTCAGCACAGCTAGAAATGACCATGGTTTAGCCATCAATGGTGATCAGCTGCTGGAGATGCCTCACTGGAATGAAGAAATGACTCCGAAGCCACCTAAGAGCTTGGTGGCTGAGGCCATGGCTAATGATGTCTAGTATAGTTTAGAGAATGATAAGGATCACATAGCTGCCAAATCCTTGGTGTGCCACCTAAGTCTATCTGCCACCAGTCAGCAGGGAAGAGCAGTTGTCTGGGGACTTGACGTGGTGGGAAAGAAAACTGTCATCTCTGTCCCTTTCTAAAACCTTGTCCTGTGTTAGTTTGCTGGACCAACATGTCCTGGCTCATCAGTAGGGTGAGCTCTTGGCTCTTCTCAGTCAGAAAAGAAGGTGAGTTCGAGCTCAGACCTCTCTTTCCCTGGATTCATGGTGTGAGCAAAGCCTCTGAGACCATGGAGCTTGGATCCCTTGTGATAAGAACGCAGATGATATCTGTGCCTCATGCTGGTATGAGGAGCAGGTGGAGCCGCTGTCTTAAGCCCAGCTACCAAAGCAGGGTGATGGTTGTTGCTGTGTTATCATTATTACAATTAGAAAGTGAAGTAGTTATCATTGTGGTTCAGTCCGTGTTAGGTATGGTTTAGACAATCCCTCCAGGAGTAGATTTAGAAAATCTATCTCAAACTGAAATAAGTAGAGATTTGGGCAGTGTGCTGGCTAGTTCTCTGCTGACACAAGGTGAAGCCATCCGAGAGGTGGGAACTTCGAGAAAATGCCTCCATAAGATGGGGCTATAGTAGCCAGATGGTTGTGGCATATGCCTTTAATCCCCGCACTAGGGAGGCACAGGCAGGAGAATCTCTGTGAGTTCGAAGCCATCTTTAGAGTGAGTTCCAGGATAACCAGGGCTACACAGAGAAACCCTATCTTCAGACAGCAGTAACAAAATAAACAAACAAAAAGATGGGGCTATAGGCAAGCCTGCGGGGTATTTTCTTAACAAGTGATTGATATGGGAGAGCCCAGACCATTGTGTTTTGGACCAGCCCTGGGTTGGTGGTCCTGAGTTCTATAAGAAAGCAGGCTGAGCAAGCCAGTAAGAAACACTCTTCTGCGGCCTCTGCAATGGCTCCTGCCTCTGGGTGAGTTCCTCTGCCTTGGCTTCCATTCCATGCATTGTGACTCAGGGCATGTCAGTCAGCGAAACCCTTGCCTCCACAACTTGCTTTTGGTCAGTGGTGTTTCATCCCAGCAATAGTAACCCTGACTAGGCCAGGCAGAGATGATGGGGCACCCAGGTCATTTGGGGCAATGATATTTCTGAGGATCTTGGGCACTAAGTGTCAGCCCATGGGAGTTTGCTGTTAGATTAGTGTCGTGAGCTCTACTGAGTGGGCCTCTGGCCTTACTTAGAGGTCTCTAGTAACGACACTCAGGATAGCAGTTCTCTGCTTTGTCCGAACTGCATTTATTGTATAGGCACTTCAAGATCTTACAACCGTTCTGGCACAGCTAAGTATCATCATCACAAGCAAGGATATAATATCACACGAGCAATATCACACAAGCACATATATATTTCTAAATCCTAGGCAGGCATTACTATATTCTATCTAATAAGGCACTGGGGTGTACAACCTGATGATGGTTCGTGGCTCTCGACGTAGACCTCTGGATCAGCAAGTCTTGATCGGCACGCAAGAGCTGGTTCTCTGGCTCTTGGAAGATCTCTGGTCCAATGTCTCGTTGATTGATTGATTGATTGATTGATTGATTCTCGATGCTGTAGAGTTTTCCTGGCGCCTCTCCGACAGAGTCTCTAGCAGATCATCTTGAGAATGCCTTCTTGTCTTTTTGCCTCAGTTTATATACTATTCCTCAGCCTTACCTCCTCTTCCCTGCGTCACACTCCAGATTAACACTCCTGTCTGCCTATACGTCACTCTTATCATCACAGCACACATTTTCTGCTAGTGCCGTTTCTCCTGGACTTGCCCCAGACTTGTCTTTACAGACTCATCTAGGTTTTGTCCTTACAGACTCCTAACAATTAGGAATAGTGTATAAACACGGGCAAGGGTGTAACATGACTTAATATTTAATAGAGAAATCTGTCGAGTTGATCTCAAACATACACCGACTTGGTTTTGTGCTATAAGAGACTGTAACATGAGGGTCAGCTTGTTGGGGTATCTGTTCCGCCCGGTACCCCACAACCGGCAAATCCCAAAGAAAATCACACACAAGACTCCATAAGATTATAAACTGATTGACCCATTAGGTCAGGCTACTTATTAGTTCTTATGACTTATCTTAACCCATTATTCTAATCTATGTTAGCCATACGGCTCCGTACCTTTCTCAGTTGGGCAAGTTACATGCTGCCTCTTCGGTGGTCTGCGCAGGAGTGACAGAGGGAGCTTCTGCTTCTAGAATACTCCCAGTCTCTTTACTCCACCCCTACTTCCTGTCTGGCTTTCCTGCCTATACTGCCTGCCTGGCCAGTCAGCGTTTTATTAAAATATGATTGACAGAATACAGATAATTCTCCCACACCACAAGGGAGTGAGCCCTCACCAGAGGCAAGAAAATGGAAGAAAGAAATAACTAGATAGACTCAGTTACTAGGAGTGTAATTGTGTCAGCTATGAGCACGCATTTACAATTCACAGCGCTGGGTGTCAGAACCTTGATGCCACCTAGGCCGTGAGAAATAAACAGGGATATTTTTGGGACTTCTTCTTTCAGCCCAATCAACAAACATTCCGTTGCCAATGAAGAAAAAAGGGCAGGGCCGAATTCCAAAGCAAATTGTGCTCACTGTGGTCTGGAGTCTGGCATCGGCTTGGATTCTGAAAAGATTGCTGGGTCTTTTTTGCTTCTTTTCTTAAATATCATACTTTTTTTCAGAGCTGTGCAACTTCCCAGATGTAGGAGCGTAATAATAGATGCTTGTCCTCGGCGTCCTGTATCTTTATTTATCAACAACACATACTGGTGAGAGCAAGTCAAAGCAAGGACTTCGGACTCTTGCCAAGATAACGTTACTGTGGAAAGCATGCGTCACAGTAGCTACGACTTTATAAACAAGGGAACTGGGTTTCGGGAAGGTGTCTTTGTCTTGTTTGAAGAAGGGTGGTTTTTTGTTTTGTTTTGCTTTGCCTAAGTATTCCTAAATAGTTTCAGGTAGGGAATTTGCCTTTTAAAGGACTCTAGTGTGGTGAGTTTTGACAAATGTTCGCAGTCGTGAAACTGAAATCTTAATTGAGATATAGAAGGCTTTCAACACCGAGGAAAGTTCCCCTGAGGTTTTCCTAGGCCCGTGTGGTCCTCTCAGGCCCAGTCCTCAGCTCTCTGCAATCTGGTTTCTGACTATTAATTGTCTTTTAGAAAGTCATATACTCTTGTCAGGGAGTGTGTAGTTCTGTGGTTTTTATCCACTCAGGTAGTGCTTCTGAGAGCCGTCGATTTTCGTAGCCCATGTGGAAGCTTTGATGTGATCTTTCAGTTCTGTTTCCTATTAAATTGGCTGTCCATTTTCCAATCGGTAAACACTGGAATTGTTCCCTTGCATTCACTTACCATAAAAGAAAACTTTCCAAACTCGGCTATGGTGCTGAGTTCTCCCTCGGCTTGGTTATAATACCAGACCAGGGGGTTGTCAGTCATAGAACACGGCTTCGTGAGGACCTACTGCAGGTTCAAGTCTGCTTCCCCTGGGATCTACACAAGTTTTCAGTCACTCTGTGTCCCCACTAGCCACTTTTCATCTTAGCCATCCTATGGAACCAGGGGTGGTATCCTCTGGGAATCTAATTTGCATTTTCCTAATGACAGTTGCATTTAGTTTCTACTCATTGGTTTGTTTGCCACCTACATCTGTTCCTTGGCCAAATAAATAAATAAATAAATAAATAAATAAATAAATAAATAAATAAAAAAAAATCTATTCAAACTTTGCTCACTTTAAAAATTGAGCTGTTTACCTCATCTTTCAGGTGTTTTATTTCGATTAAATCCAATTTTTCTCTCTTTTCCTTGTTACAGTCTTTGCTTTCTTTATCAGAGTACAGTCTTTGCTTTCTTTATCAGAGATAACGAATCTCAAGCGTAAAGATATTTTTCTCTTGTATTTTCCTCTATGATTTTCATCCATTTAGCCCTTACGCTTATTCACAGATCACTTCCGGTGATTGTTTACATAGTGCAGAAAAGACAACGGGTTATCTCTAGCCAATTGTCCTGGCACATTCTGCTGAAAAGCTGACACACGAGCCATTGGATTACATTAGCACGTTAGCTGAAAATCAATACATGTGCATGCGGAAACATGGTTTTATTCTGTCTGCATAGCTGATTGTTTAAAGTTCCACAAATAATTGAGATCACGCAATATTTTCCTTTCCGTGTCTGGTTTATTCCACTTAACAGAATGTCTTCCAGATGCAGTCCTGCTGTGGAAAAAGGCAGGGTCTCCTTTTTAAAGCCCAAATAATATTCCACTGTATATTGTGGCCAGTTTCCCTCTCTATTCTCCCATGGGTGGATGCTTAAGTTTGTTTCCGTACCTTGGATGTTGGGCAAGACGCTGCAGCGAGGGTGGGCCTGTGTGTGTGGTGTGTTCTCCTTTGTGTATACACCTAATGGAGGCATGAGAGTCATATGGTAGCTGTATTTCCAATTTCCTCAGGAAACTCCTGGCTGTCCTCTAGTATGACTGTAACAATGTGCATTGCCACCAAAAGCTTACAAGGATTCTTTTTTCTCTATACCCATCAATTTGGGGAGTTATCGTTTGATATTTTCTTATTATTTTGGCAGTGGGGGGACTGAACCAAGGTCTTATGCATCCTAGGCAGGTGAATCTACTAAGCCGCAGGGTCAGTTTCCTTGACTGTTTTGATAGCTGCCATCTTACTGAGTCTGAGGCAATATGTTGTAACGGTTTTGAGCTGCCTTTCTGGATGACTGAAAAATGTCCAGTGCTCTTTGGTCAGATGTGTCTTCTCTAGGAAAAATGTCTTACCTACTCTTTCATCAATTTTTTTTGTTTAAGATTTATTTTTATTATTTTTAACTAGGTATTTATGTGTCTCTCCATGTAGGGATATCTGTTCATGAATGCAGTGCTCATAGGGGCCAGAAGAGGGCATCAGATCCCTTTTGGATATGGAGTTACAGGTTGTCATCAGCTACTTAGCCTGGGTCCTGAGTTCACACTTGAGTTCTCTGCAAGAGCAGTGTGTTCTCTTAACCACTGAACCATCGCTCCAGTTCCTTTCCCTATTCCTTAGCTTGGTCGTTTTCCTACCACTGGGTTGTATGATTCATTACATACTTTGAATATTAATTTCCTACTAGATAGACAGTTTGGAAATATTACCCCCAGTCTTTTAGCTGTTGTTTCACCAATACTGTTTCCTTAGTCTATGTGAGCCTTCTCTTAGCAAATACTAAATGATTGTGATGGCTCCGGCCTTATAGGAAGTTTCAAACTGGGTAATGCAGCTCCTACAGCTTCATTCTTCTTGTGCAAAACTGTAACAATTTTAGATCATAGCATGTAAATCTTGAGGCCTGCTGATGTGACCTCTCCAGGTTCATTTTTATTTTTACTTTACACTCATGAGTATTTGTCTGCATGCATGTATGTACCCAAAGAAGCCAGAAGAGGGTGTCTGGTCCCCTAGAACTGGAGTTACAGATAGCCAGCATATGGGATCTGAGATTCAAACCTTGGGCCTCTCAAGAGCAGCCAATGCTCTTAATCACTGAGACGTCTCTCCAGTCCCTGCTTTTATTATTCAAAATGACCTATTGTACCTATTTTAGGCCCTTCATTCGTTTATATAAATTACAGAATTATCTTGTCAGTTTCTTTTTGAAATCATTTCTGATTTTTATTGGGATTGTATTGGGTGTATTGAGGAAAACTGACATCATAACCAATTGAGTCTTCCAATTCATGAGCACATGCATAGCTCTCTCTTTTCATAAGGTCTTCTTGGCCACTTTCATTAACATTTGATCAGTTAGTTTTGTCTCTGAGTCACATTTTTATGTAACTGGGAAGGATTCTGTCTTGTCATTTCAATTCTAGCTATTTACTGCCAGTTTTTAAGAACTTCGATTTCCTGTGATAATCTTCAATCCTAAATCTTAACTAACTCTCTTACTCGGTTGTTTAGGATTTCCAGTTGGTAGTCACACTGTCTACAGTCAGAAGTTCATATTTCTTCAAGTTTGTATGTCTTCACGTTTTTCTCACACCATTACACAGAATAGGCCCTCCAGAGTGGTGCTGAAATGGGTGGTAAGCTCAGCTCTTCCCAAGTTTAAGAAGAAAGTGTTGATTCTCTCATTATGTCTACCAGATGTGGAGGGCTGTTTGTAGACATCCTTCACCAAAGCTGAGAATGTTACTCTTTCCCCAAGATTTCTGGAATACATGTGAAATTTTGTTAAATGCTTTCTCTATAGTCATTCAGATGATACTTCTGTATTATAATTAACATATTAAAAGACATCGATTAATTTTCCACTGTTTAACCAACTTTCTATACCTTAGATGAACTGCTCTTGGCTGTGTTTAAGTGACTTTAAAATACAACTCAATCCATTCTGACAATTTAAAAACAGTTTTAATGATAGATGTTGATATACAATTTTTCTGTGGTTTTTGACTGATTTAGCAATGGGGTAAATGAATTGGAAAGAGTTCTATCTCTTTCTGTTGTGCAGAAAACTTTGTACGAATTGGTTCTTTTGCCACTGAAAGCATCTGGGTGTAAAATCTCTTTGTGTTAAGACTGCTAAACTATGAATTCAGTTCTTTAGTGGCTGTGAGACTAATTCAGTTATTTATCTCTTCATGAGGAAGTTTTTGTAGTTTATGACTTCAAAAGGCATTTTTTTCTGCTCTATTTAGTCATCAAATGTTGGCATAAAGTTTTTCATATTTCTTTATTACTCTTTGGATGTTAAGAATATTTCCTGTGTTATTCCAAATATTGATAATTCTCTCCCTTTTGTAACTATTATGGCTAGAGTTTTACAAGCTCTATCTTTTCAAAGAAGCAATTTTATTCCATTGTTTTTTTCAGCTGCAGAAAAGTAGCAACTTCTG